ATCAATAAATATGAGATGCCCTCTCAAAAAAAATAAATAAATAAATAAAATGAAATAATATGTAGATTAAAAAATAATAATAATAACAGATTAGTTCTTAACATAAAATTCCAATACTTACTATCTAATTTCTGTCCTCCTGTAAAAGTTTCTAGAGCAGCAGCATAGTTCTTTTCATGGTATTCACATATTCTGCATATGCATATTAAAAACAAATACCACATGCACATGAGATAATAAATAAAATCCTTCTAAATAAAATTCTAGTATTCTCTATTCTTAAAGAATGTAGTTATATGTGAGTAAGGCTAAATTTTTCTAAAATACTATACTTAGATCTAATATAAATCTTGTTAAAATATAATTTTAGAAATCATTTTGGAAGGATTTCTTGACTTTAATTTTATACACTTGCTTATTCCAAAATATAGTTATACTAAGGAATTAAAGAAGATTCTTCCATAATAAAGTCACATTTATTAACAGAAACAAGCTGGGATATAAAGTACATAGATACAGAGTTTTCATAGCATTAAATGTAGCATGTCCAGCTTGGTTGAGGACTATTAGGTATTCTGTAGTCAGTTAGATACTAAATTTCAAATGACAAGCAAAAAGGGATTTGAAATCCATCAGTTTCATCAGTACCCTGTAATACGTCAATCATCACTAACTATGTATCGCCTATCACATACTACAGTTAATACATTAGAAGTATAAATTGTATTTAAAACTGAATGCTGTCTTAGCCACAGAATGCATGAAACTATAAAATGAATAGACAATTATCATTCAACAACTTAGACACCTACTATCTACAATCCAGACTCAACAAGAAGAGTTACTGCATACCCTTTTCTCAGTATAGCAGTGGAATTATTGGGATTAAGTTCAAGAGATTTCTTTGCATCAGCAACAGCATCTGTACAAGAAAAAATGGGTTTTGGTCAATTATTTACAGATCCCAACAAGTATTACACACAAAATTTGAATCCACCTTAGATTTTAAGTTTTCAAGTTGGTGAAACAAATAGTTTAAATTAGGAAAAGCTAATTCATGATAGAATTCAAATAAATTATTACCCTCATACCTTTCTATAAGTCTAATCTTAGCTTCCTTCTTAAAGTTCTTCAATGAATAAAGCTCTGTGTCACAGAGTTCATCTAATTTTCTCATTAATGTCATTTATGTAATTTGACTCAAGGTTTTAAATTTTTCCCTACTCAGATTCTCTATCCAAAACTATGAAAATTACATAAATACAAAAATACATTCCTTTTTATAAAAAATGCAAATAAGAGCATTTCATTAAAATACTCTGGAAAACAGTAAATGTGATGCTATTCTTTGCTAACATATCTAATAACCATGAATGAAATCTGTATAGATTTTCCACCCACTGAAGGAAGAACAGACACCCATAACATTTAAATGGATGTTATTCAACATGTTCCTCACGTTTCAGCTACTTTACCTTGTATGAAAGACCAATTTAAAAATCCCAGAAGATAATCTCTATTTGATTCATTGTACCTTGGGCAAAATATGTAACTTATTAAAAAGAGACAATAATACATTTTGTAAGAAAAGTTACCACAGTAATTCCCAAGAAGAATGTGACAATAAGCTCTTTGACAATAATATTGTGCATCATCTGGTTTCTGTTCCAAAGCTTTAGTCAGCTCCTACAAATACAAATACATTGAGGGTCAGTATATGTTTTTAAAAAGACATTGAATCCCAATTAAACAAGATTTTTAATCAAACAGCCTATTTTAATAAGCTATTCAGAGAAAAGGTAACAGGGAAACAAGTTTGGAGGTTTTCTTTGCAAGTGGATCAATATCTCCCCTTTTCCGCTCTCCCCCGCAACACGCACAATCTAATATGGTATCTATGTAAAAACACTTAGCAGATCCTGGCCTACAGGATAATAATATCTAATAATAGGATAATAATTACTAATAAATAGTAATTATCACCTCAGTTATTCTGAAGAGTTTGGCTGATATACATTGACCATCACTGATTTTCTCCTTGTAATTTGGAGAAGACTCAAAGATCATATAGAATTTGAAATGCATAGAAAATGTGAAGCTGTCCAATAAAAAAAAAAAACTAGAAGTTAAATCTAAAGCTCAAAGAGGTTAACAGAATTAATAAATACATAATCAAGCTTAGTTGGCCTTCTCTATCCTCTGTCAATGGCAGACAACCCTAAGAGAGCCCTGATACAGTATCTCATACAAAGCTACGATCAACTGAACAAGAGTTAACATTAGAGAGTTTAAATTTTTGCCATCCTGGGGAGTCACAGTATGTAAGTAGTAGCTGGAACAATAATAATTGAAGAACAGATTGTGCAATTAGCGAAGCTAAAGGCAAATGTAGGCAAACAGCCACACAAGTGCCACTGACTTTAACTAGTACTGTGATTCTTACAAAGCAATGTGTTCTATACTTGGTAATCACATACCTAAAATCCAATATACATAAGTATCCAAACCACTTTTTACCACCTTCACGCATCACCCTGATCCAAGCAGTAATGAAAAGCAAACCATGTTACTATGTCTCTGTTCAAAACTCTCCGATGCCTTTCCAGCTGACTCTTTTAAAATGACTCAGAGCAAAAGTGCAAGGCCTTCCAATGACCTACAAGGCCCTCCTTGATATGACCTTCTGCTCTCTCTCTCATCTCACCTCTTTTCTACTCTTCCCTTTGCTCCTAGAATCTAGCTCCAATGGCTTCCTTGTTGTTCTCCAAACACTTGAGGACTCTGCACCTGCAGTTCCCTGTCACTAGAATGCTCTTCCCTGAGGTGTGCACAGAAGATTCATTCCTTCACTTCCTAATGAGCAACAAGACTATGCCAGAGATGGGATTCAAATCCAGGTCTCTCTGACTCCAAACAGGATTTCAACGATTAAACAGCACTGCCTCTTGGTAATGTTTTTTAACTCCAAGTTTCTCTCACACACCATCTGACATTTACATTAGTATACTGTTAATAATTTGAAGTTCCTAAGTTAAATAACACCGTTTTGCACTAAACTTTCAAAGACTTTGAGAACAGCTGAGAGCTTACCTATTACTCATATGTATCTTCAAAGCAAATTTCTAGCATTTCCTCACAAAAAAAAAAAAACAGGTATATTATGGGTTTAAAAGGCTGTTATAGATAATATTAATATTTGGATCACCAATTCAAAAAGTATTCTTAAGACGTATTATGTAACAAACATAGGCCAGACACGGGGGACAAAGATAAAACAAGATTCTTTTTCTTAAGGAGTCAGGTAAAAAATTATGAATTTTGAACAACCAACTTGCAAATGAACTTTAAAAGCATAAAAGATCTTTTGGTTAAGGAGAACCAGTCATAGTGATTCAGATAAAAAAAAAAAAAAACAAAGCAATTGGCTTACTAGGCTGTTAATTTTAAAAGGTACCAAAAAAATACTGAGTACAAAGTGAACATTACAACAAACTTGTAAGTCATGTATAAAACACAATATTGTTTATTTTGAATAAGCAATATACAGCTGACCCTTGAACAATGCAGTGTTTAGGTGCACCAACCCTACATGCAGCTGAAAATGTGTTTAACTTGAGACTCCCAAAATCTTAACTACTAATAGCCTGTTGTTGACCAGAAGCCTTACTGACATACTTGATTAACACTTGTGTTGTATATGTATTACATACTGAATTCTTACAATAAATAACCTAGAGAAAATGTTTTTTCAAATTGTCACAAATCTTCAAAAAATTTCCCAATACATTTATTGAAAAAATTCCACGTATAGCGGACCCAATGCAGCTCAAACCTGTGTCATTGAAGAGTCAACTGTATAGTATGACAAAGTCAGAGAAAGTGTACTTAAAATAATGATCAGTGCTTATATTAGTTACATCTGGCATGTGGCATGTTTTCAGATTCTGTTTCTGTGACAACTGTTGCTGGTTGCCTGAGAACAAAGGGACTTAAGGGAAGGACTCAAAAGGCAGGGCTTCAGTGCCAATATGTGAATCACATGGCAAAAGGCTATTATTTAATGCAGACTAATGTGAAACATATGGTAAAGATGTCAAAAGACATACATAAAATGAGTTATGCTATAGTCAATCAATATATTTGCTCTCAAAAATAAAGAAACCCAGTCAACTGCAATATATAATCACATTGAAATCTTTACCAAGATGATGGTGAAGGAAGTGCCCTGATAATCCAGAACAGCAGGGGGGAAAACTTCTTTTTAAGGCAATAAAATTGTTTAAGACTTGGATCTTAAAAAATGAATTTACAAATGTTAAAGTTCTAGCCTCTTTTAAAATGCTACTCAACGAGGTAACTTGTTAAGGTTGAAAGCAAAAGCAGATTGCTCAGACTGACGTAATGTTGGAAAGGTCTTTCTCAGACATATCCTTCTGAGTATCTCAATTTGATTTCACTTTCCATTTTCTTTCAGCCACGGCTAATCTGCAATCATGGATGATAAACAAGGACATCAACCCTTCTCCCTTCCTAAACTACCCTGCATAGCTGGAGAAAAACTACATAACCATGAAGAACTGGTATCACTGCACATTTATGCTAACTAGCTATGTTCTCCATAAAGCTATCTGTGGTCAGCTACTTCAAAATCATCTACCAAACCAATTTTATCATACATATCTGGTCCTACCTCCTCCTCTAGAGAGTGACCTTGATGCATTGAACCCAAAGACCTGTCACATAATGTAACACTGAACTATGTAACACTGTAACTATGTTCTAAACTATGTAACACTGAACAAGTTTATCTCTCTAGCGTCAGCTTCCTTGTGAGTAAAATACAGTGACTACCTCACAGTTGCTCCAAGAACTATGGCAAGTCCTTTAACACACCTGAATGCCTACGACACTCTAAGCACTATACTGAGAATGCAACTATAAACAAGGTAAAAGCCCTGTTCCCTTGAAGCTTATGTTGGGACCCAATTTAAACACGGTGCTCAGAAAAGACTTCCCTGAGGTGATATTTCAACTGAAATCTAAAGTGATGACCATCTCCAAACAAAACTAGAGATGGAACATTTTACGCAAAAGGAACTGCAAAGTCCAAAGGCCCTCCACCAAGACTCAGCTTGACCCATTCAAGTAGCAGAGAGCGAGTATAGCTAGAACATAGAAAGGAAAGAAGCTACAAGATGCCTACACCTCAAGGGCCTCATTTTGTACATCACACTACTTATCTTTCTAGTAACTCTTTCAAGCAGGTCCTATTTAGTCCCATTTTACAGACCGGAAATCTGACCCAAAGTGATAAAAGGAACTTTCCTGAGGTTACACAGTTATTATGAAACCAGGATTTGGACCGCAGCTCCTGATTCTAGAGCCAATGCCCTTAGCCACTATTCACACTGGGCCTCAAAAATAAAGATTCTCATAATCCACATCGGTTTTCTCTCCCTACTGAATTGAGACTTTCTCTGTAAAATTTTTTTACTTCTCCAGTCAACCTCTACTCTATGCTCTTAATGTACTTTATACATCACTTCATTCTCATGCTGCTGCATCTGATCTGGAGACCACACTTTTGAGAACCACTGTTCTACAGCACTAGACTAAGAGTCTGGAAACAAGTCCTTAGGCTCCAATTTGGCCTCTAATTGGCTGTATATATCTCTATGACAGATCACTTGGATTTCTTTTGGTCTTAGTTTTCCTCTGTAAAATGGAAAGGTAGTAAGTACTGGACTACATGAGTCATATGGACTGTCAGCAAATCTGTGGTGAGGTCAAAAAACTAGTACCCAATGCAGCTCAAACCTGTGTCATTGAAGAGTCAACTGTATAGTATGACAAAGTCAGAGAAAGTGTACTTAAAATAATGATCAGTGCTTATATTAGTTACATCTGGCATGTGGCATGTTTTCAGATTCTGTTTCTGTGACAACTGTTGCTGGTTGCCTGAGAACAAAGGGACTTAAGGGAAGGACTCAAAAGGCAGGGCTTCAGTGCCAATATGTGAATCACATGACAAAAGGCTATTATTTAATGCAGACTAATGTGAAACATATGGTAAAGATGTCAAAAGACATACATAAAATGAGTTATGCTATAGTCAATCAATATATTTGCTCTCAAAAATAAAGAAACCCAGTCAACTGCAATATATAATCACATTGAAATCTTTACCAAGATGATGGTGAAGGAAGTGCCCTGATAATCCAGAACAGCAGGGGGGAAAACTTCTTTTTAAGGCAATAAAATTGTTTAAGACTTGGATCTTAAAAAATGAATTTACAAATGTTAAAGTTCTAGCCTCTTTTAAAATGCTACTCAACGAGGTAACTTGTTAAGGTTGAAAGCAAAAGCAGATTGCTCAGACTGACGTAATGTTGGAAAGGTCTTTCTCAGACATATCCTTCTGAGTATCTCAATTTGATTTCACTTTCCATTTTCTTTCAGCCACGGCTAATCTGCAATCATGGATGATAAACAAGGACATCAACCCTTCTCCCTTCCTAAACTACCCTGCATAGCTGGAGAAAAACTACATAACCATGAAGAACTGGTATCACTGCACATTTATGCTAACTAGCTATGTTCTCCATAAAGCTATCTGTGGTCAGCTACTTCAAAATCATCTACCAAACCAATTTTATCATACATATCTGGTCCTACCTCCTCCTCTAGAGAGTGACCTTGATGCATTGAACCCAAAGACCTGTCACATAATGTAACACTGAACTATGTAACACTGTAACTATGTTCTAAACTATGTAACACTGAACAAGTTTATCTCTCTAGCGTCAGCTTCCTTGTGAGTAAAATACAGTGACTACCTCACAGTTGCTCCAAGAACTATGGCAAGTCCTTTAACACACCTGAATGCCTACGACACTCTAAGCACTATACTGAGAATGCAACTATAAACAAGGTAAAAGCCCTGTTCCCTTGAAGCTTACGTTGGGACCCAATTTAAACACGGTGCTCAGAAAAGACTTCCCTGAGGTGATATTTCAACTGAAATCTAAAGTGATGACCATCTCCAAACAAAACTAGAGATGGAACATTTTACGCAAAAGGAACTGCAAAGTCCAAAGGCCCTCCACCAAGACTCAGCTTGACCCATTCAAGTAGCAGAGAGCGAGTATAGCTAGAACATAGAAAGGAAAGAAGCTACAAGATGCCTACACCTCAAGGGCCTCATTTTGTACATCACACTACTTATCTTCCTAGTAACTCTTTCAAGCAGGTCCTATTTAGTCCCATTTTACAGACAGGAAATCTGACCCAAAGTGATAAAAGGAACTTTCCTGAGGTTACACAGTTATTATGAAACCAGGATTTGGACCGCAGCTCCTGATTCTAGAGCCAATGCCCTTAGCCACTATTCACACTGGGCCTCAAAAATAAAGATTCTCATAATCCACATCGGTTTTCTCTCCCTACTGAATTGAGACTTTCTCTGTAAAATTTTTTTACTTCTCCAGTCAACCTCTACTCTATGCTCTTAATGTACTTTATACATCACTTCATTCTCATGCTGCTGCATCTGATCTGGAGACCACACTTTTGAGAACCACTGTTCTACAGCACTAGACTAAGAGTCTGGAAACAAGTCCTTAGGCTCCAATTTGGCCTCTAATTGGCTGTATATATCTCTATGACAGATCACTTGGATTTCTTTTGGTCTTAGTTTTCCTCTGTAAAATGGAAAGGTAGTAAGTACTGGACTACATGAGTCATATGGACTGTCAGCAAATCTGTGGTGAGGTCAAAAAACTAGCATTTCTAATGAGTTCTTAGATGATGCTACTGGCCCAAGAACCACTGTTTAAGATCCAAGGTACTAAAAACTAACCACATGCCTACTTTATGCAATTTCACTGCTTGCTATATATACCCAAAAGAAAGGAGTGCATGTGTTCACCAAAATACATGCACAAAAAATTCAAAGTGGCTTTTTTCATACTAATAATTGGAAATACTCAAATGTCCATTGTTACAATTGTACTGTATTTATACAATGGAATACTATGCAGCAATGAAAAAAGGAACTGCCACTTCACACAATACGGTTGTATCTCACATAATGTTTAAAGCAAGACAAAGCATCTACACTCAGCTGAGTACCCAGTGTATGTTTCTGTTTATATGAAGTTTGCAATAAAAGCAAAACTGATGGTGACCAAGGTCAGAATAGGGGTTATCTTGTGGGCAACAGGAATTATTGGCTGGAAAGACACATAAGGGGCCAATGAGGATGGAAGTGTGTTATATCTTGATCTGGGTGGTAACACATATGTAAAACTACTACTTTATTAGTTACACAACATTTCTATTTACAGATACCATTCTTCACTAAAAAAAATTTTAAGTTAAATAAGTGAGATGGCACAGTAATAATGAAATTCATTACACTAATATCCTTTAAAAGTAACTTCTATATAAATGAGTTCCAGAGGAAGGAGTGGGCCTAAGAGGGCCGTAAGAAATGTAGATTCTGAAAATTAATAGCTGCATAGCCAATATAAGGAATTGTGGAGAAAAATTCTCAGTGTCTCCTGTAACATTATTCTAATACCAATCCCAGAAGCCTCTCTAGGAAATATCATAGCACAACTGATTAATCAACTACTTTATCTGAAGGCCCTCTCATCTACACTCAAAAACATACTCCTCCCTAAAAAGCCCTAAGGGACCTAGCCCATTTTCCTCCCAACTTCATCTTACTCCTTTTTCATGCCACTCTAGTCAAATGTCCTTTTTACTGCTCCCTGTACAGACCAATGTCATTCCCACCTGAGGACCTTTGCATTAGCTCTTCTTCCTGCCTATAATACCCCTTCCTCAGAGCTGCCAAGCTCACTCTCTCATGCCCCCAGTTTTCTGCTCAAATGTCACCTCCTCTGAGAGACTCTAGGAAAAGGGTTCTTTTGCCTCAGATTGCTACCCTTAGATATGTCAGATTATGACAATGAAACAGGGTGTGGTTTCTTCTTTTCTCCTGTTTCAAAGCAAGAAACCCCAGGCTAAATTTTGTGACCCACTGCATCATGTATCCTTAGCTCTCTTTGCTACTTCTAATTACTAACTCTTTCTCTTTTTCTTTCCTTTAAGGCTTTAGAGTTTTCAACTTCACAGAAACATAAAGTGCCTTATAAGTCACTTAAATATTTAAGATTTTAATAGCAATCAGTGCGTTGCACACAGAAACTCCACAGAAAAATTGTTTTGGCAAATAAAACAACGAGTGAATTATGAACAGTGACAGGACTGTTCAGGGACAAAGCGGAGAAGTTTTTGTTCCAGGAGTCAGAGTTCATAAAAGCACTTAGCACAGTGTCTGGTAGGTACGTAATAATGGCAAGGATGATAGTCAGATGAAAAACAGAATTAACAAATATCATGAAGCCTAGGCTTCACTTTTTCTTCTAGCCACAAATGGCATTAAAAAGAAAAATCCTTCCAGGAAGCTATGAATGTCAACTATGCCCCCTCACCTCCACCCCAAGTAGTAGAAACGGTTTTTCTAAGCATCTGCGAGGCCACAGGAACCGGCTAAAAGTGGAAGGAGCAAACACGGGGATCAGGCGTACTGGAGCCACTGTGGATCAGAGAAACGAGAGGACGACGACTCTTAGGGCTGAGACAATAAAAGCAGCAGCCCGGGTCCCAGGTAAGGCAATGCTGGGAAGTGACGGGGTCGGCCCGAATCCGTGGCAGCTGAAAACCCCAAACGAGAGTAAAGAAGCTGAGATGGGCTCTCACCTCTAACGCCGCCTGGGGGTCTTCATCGATCAGAGCATCTGAGAAGCCCCGGAAAAACCTGCCAGGAAAACAACATCAGCAGAGATCTAACCATGAAAAGGTGCAGGATAAAAATGAACAGCTGAGAGATGGAAAAACACTCACGGCTGAGCTGTTGCAGGTCCTGCCGCTGCCGCTGCCATGCTAATAGTCACTGTTGCCACTCCTGGGCTGGCTACTAGGCAGATTATCCGCTCTGCTGCCGCCCGAGGGGGAAACTTCCGCAGAAACACCAACCGAGCTTCCGTCCTAAGTAGCCAACGAACAGCCACGCAGTGCGCCGCGGGGCCAGCTGGGGCAGGGGAGGACCGTCTCCCAGCCGCGTCCCCCGGTCCCGTGACCAGCCCTTCCAGTCCCCGCCTCTCGCGGCCGTGGCTACCGTGGCCTCGTCTGTTCTGGCTGGACAGAGCCCTCAAGGGTAGTAACCCAAAAGCACTTTGGGGTTGTACTGTTATCCCTCGGGAATGTATGGAGGCGTTTGTACGACCATTCGTAGGAAGCCATATCGAACAGCACTTTCACCAGTTTCCATCACAGCTCTTACGATGGCTACCAGAGGTAACCGAGCCCGTCGTGACCCATGACGTCGTACGCTGCTGCGTGTGCTTTTCCGGGAGCAGAGTTCCGGATGGCGCTTCTCTCATGGGATCTCAGCGCTGGGGACCCTACCGGACTTGGACCCGCCGGAAATCGTTCTGCCTTGGCAGAGGGTAGACAGAAGGAAGCCTTACTGGTTCCGGTGTGGGTGTACTGTTCTACTCTCCAGAGCTCTACAGGCCCCGGCTTTCCTCCTAAATTGCCTTCCCAGACTGAGAAGGAAAAACCTGCCCCATCGGAAGGCACTGAAGGGAAGAAAGTGGCCTGAAGTTCTCAGTGCAGCTTTATTTTTCAACCTAGTCGTTCAAGGCCCTCTATCTTCACCCTTCCACCCATTCAGATTAGACAGAAAAAGCTTCCAGCAAGTTCCGTGGGAGTGGGAAGCAGGTAGTGAGAACGAGGAGCTCAGTTGGTAGAGATTAACAAGTGAATGAACGCATGTCTGCTACATCCAAAATCTAAAGTCCTGGGATTCAGAGATGTTAATTCCCTCCGGAAACTTTACCAATTCCAAGTGCTAACAAGAAAGAAGAGGAATAGTCATGTGACAGGAAGATTTAGCCAAATATAGAGGGATGGATGTGATAGCCGAGCCTCAGCCTTGAAGGATGAATTAGAACTGATGAAGGAAGTGGAAAAGACACTTCAAGATATAATTGGATGTCTGGTATAAAAGGATGATGTGATTTCTAAAGTTGTTAGAGCCAAAATTCAAATTAGATGCATACCAGTTGGAGAGGTAGGTAAATGCCAGGTCATAAAGGGCTAGGTGTGGTCTGCCGAAAAGCATGGATGTGCTTCTCTTAATGATGTTAACCTAACAGGATTTTTCACTTTAAAAGGTAATAACAAATTTGTATTTTTGAAAGTATATTCTCTGCTATGTAAGAATGATTAAAAGGGAAAAGGAGAACAGTTGTTGGGAGATATATAGGTCAAATTAAACTCTCTCTTAAATAGGTCAGTGATTGTAAGGATGGTGAAGAAGGCAAGGATTACATAAATCAGGTAAAACTGGGTTTGATCTTTTATGATCAGTTCTTTTTTGTGTCATATAAGGCTTTACCTACCCCGAGACCATTAAGATATTCTGTTTTCTTCTAGATGTTTTATTTCACCTTTTACATCCAAGTCTATGATCTGACATTAATTTTTGTAAAAGGTATGAGGTTGGGATTGAGGTTCATTTTCCTCCAATATGGATGTCCTCTATTACCAAACTTTTATTTAAAAGACTGTCATTTGTCATTTCCCCCCACTAAATTCTTTTTTTTTTTCATGAAGAACATGATGTTTACTAGGCTCCCCCCTTCACCAAGTCCCCCCAACATACCCCTTCACAGTCACTGTCCATCAGCGTAGTAAGATGCTGTAAAATCACTACTTGTCTTCTCTGTGTTGCACAGCCCTCCCCGTGCCGCACGCCACCCCCCCCCACTATACATGCTAATTGCCCCCTTTCTTTTTCCCTGCCCTTATCCCTCCCTTCCCACCCATCATCCCCAGTCCCTTTCCCTTTGATAACTGTTAGTCCATTCTTGGGTTCTGTGATTCTGCTGCTGTTTTGTTCCTTCAGTTTTCCCTTGTTCTTATCTCCACATATGAGTGAAATCATTTGGTACTTGTCTTTCTCTGCCTGGCTTATTTCACTGAGCATAATACCCTCTAGCTCCATCCATGTTGTTGCAAATGGTAGGATTTGTTTTCTTCTTATGGCTGAGTAATATTCCATTGTGTATATGTACCACATCTTCTTTATCCATTCATCTACTGATGGACATTTAGGTTGCTTCCATATCTTGGCTATTGTAAATAGTGCAGTGATACATGTGTCCTTGCCACCTAATAAGACCCTTTTGTCCCCAAATGAAGGTGACCTCACCCCAAATAATCCTTTTGTCTGACTTCCTTGTCCTGCCTTTAAAAACCTCTCCTTTCCATAGACCTTCAGAGCATCTCTCTCTACCTGGTAGAGGGGATGCAGCCCAAATTATGAATTGCTTAATAAAGCCAATTAGATCTTCATTAAAAAAAAAAATAGTGCAGTGATAAACATAGAGGTGCATCTGTCTTTTTCAAACTGGAGTGCTACATTCTTAGGGTAAATTCCTAGAAGTGGAATTCCTGGGTCAAATGGTATTTCTACTTTTAGCATTCTGAGGAACCTCCATACTGCTTTCCACAATGGTTGAACTAATTTACATTCCCACCAGCAGTGTAGGAGGGTTCCCCTTTCTCCACAACCTCGCCAACATTTGTTGTTGTTTGTCTCTTCCCCACTAAATTCTTATGGCACCTTTGTTGTAGATGACTGCAGATGTGGGTCCATTTCCAGGTTCTAATCCCATTAGTCTGTTTGTGTAACCATGTACCCCACTGTTTTAATACCCCAGTGTCTTAGTTAACATAGCTTTATATTGTTTTGAAGTCCTATAGCTTTTCTTTAAGATTACCTTGGCTATTTGAAGCCCTTTTTATTTACTTTTACCCATTTATAAAATTTATTTCCATTTATTTATACATTTTGGAATGAATTTGTCAATTAAAAAAACCCTGGTAGGATTGTAACTGGGGATGTATTTGGGGAAAACTGACATCTTGAGTCCTCCAATCCATGAATATCATACACCTCTCCATTTCTGTAAATGGTCTTTAATTTCTCTCAGCAGTGTTTTGCACATTACAATGTAGAGGTCTTGTATATCTCCCATTAGATTTTTTTTAATGCTATTTTAAGTGGCATTAAAAATTTTTATACTGTAGTTGTTGCTAGCATAAACACTGATTTTTATGAATTGATCTTTCATTCAGCTCATTTACAAAGTTCCCTTATGTCTAATATTCTGTGATCATACTCTTGTCATCTGTGAATAAACGTGTTTTAACATCTTCCTGTGTAATCATTATACCTTTATTTCTTTTCATGTCTGCTGTCATTTGCTGGGATGTCTACTGTAATGTTGAGAAGTAGTGATAATGGGCTTCTTGCATAGGTTGTAGTATCAGAGGGAGAGCATTCTGTGTTAAATGCTTTTTCTGCCTTTATTGAAAAGTTCGTATCTGCTTTTTCTTTAATATGTTAATGTGAAGTACACTGGTTCACTTTTAGATGTTCTCTAAATGGCCAATATGCATATGAAAAGTTCTATATCAGTAGCTATTATCAAGGACATTAAAATCATAACTTGGTACTACTCTCACCAGAGTGGTTAAATTAAAAGAAATTAAAATACCAAGAATTGGCAGATATAAAGCACATATAATGTTCATATATTTCTAGTTGGAGTATAAATTGGCATTAACTACTTTAGAAAACTTGACACTACGAAAGCTAGTCATACAGATAACCATATTACCCAGTAATTTTGCCACTAGGTAGAAACCCAAAAGAAAGGAGTACTTTACCTTACAGATATTGATTGCAGCACTATTCACAGTAGCAAAAACAGGAAATAACTTAAATGTCCTTTCATAGGAGGAAAGTACTACAGAGCAATAGTCAAGAATAAACTACCAGTATACACAAGACGGATGAACTTTTCATACATATTGTTGAGTTAAAGAAGCCAGAGTACATCCTGATTGATTCCATTTGTAAGATAAAAAGCGATTGTGAGGGAAATCAGAGGGTGATCTGTCTGGGAAGGGCCATAAGGCAATCATCTTGGATGTGGGAAAAGTTGTATCTTGATCTCTGTAGTAATTACACCAATGTATTCAGATGTAAAATTTTGTCAAGTTGTTCACTTAAGTAAGATTCGTGAACTGTGTGCTTCAGTAAATTAGGAGAAAAAATATTTAAAACCAGCAATTACCAGATTTGAAGTTTTAAAAACCATAACATTTATAATAGCATCAAAAATACTAAATACTGAAAAATAAATCTGACAAATGATGTGCAAAATATATACACCGAGAATTAGAAAACATTGCTGAATTAAAGAACACCAAAAACAAATGGAGATGCACTCCGTGAGTCAGAAGACTCAATATTAAGATGGCAGTTCTTCCTAAGCTGAACTAAAGATGCAACATGATCCCAGTCAAAAATCAGACTTCTGTTTTCCAAGTCAACAAGCCGATTCTGAAATTCAAATGGAAATTCAAAAAGCTTAGATCAAATAAACTTTGATAAATAACAAAGTTGGAGAACATTGATCTCAACACATCAACCTTACATATTGGCACAAAGTTAGACAACAGAACAGAACAGAGTCCCTAAATAGACCCATATATATATATATATATGGATAACTGATTTTCAATAAAGGCCCAAAGGTAATTCAGAGTAGAAAAGAGTTGAAAAGGGCAGTCTTTTCAGACTTTCCAATTGAAAAGAATAGTTTTCAACAAATTATATATAAAAAAGTGAACTTCAATACATACCTTGCACCATCTACAAAAAATTAACTCACAATGGATAGTGGACATAAATGTAAAAATTAAAACTATAATAAAACTTCTAGAAGAAAGTCTTTGTGACCTTGGGTTAGGCAAAAATTTCTTAGACATGATACCAAAAACATGGTCCATAAGAATAAGTTGGGGAATTCGACTTTACCAAAATTAAAGTTTCTGTACTTTGAAAATATTTGTAAATAATGTATCTGAAAAGTTTGTATACAGAATAGAGTTCTCAAAACTCAGTAAAAAATAATTTTAAATGAGCAAAAAATTCATCACTTCATCAAAGATACATGTGCTAAAGAAGCACAAAATCATTAGTCACTAGGGAAATATAAAGAAAGCTACAATCAGATACTGCTACAGACTCATTAAAACGGCTAAAATATAGAAGACTGACCGTATTGGAGAAAACAGCTGGTAGACACATACACTGCTCATGGGAATGTAAAATGGCACAACCATCACAATTAAGACCCAGCCAAACCACACCTAAACAGAAATGGCTGCCATGGGTGTTCTGGGTAAAAGTTTCCTTATTAATAATATTATTATTAATAAATATTAATGTTGATATTAATAATATTAATGTTATTAATGAAAAATTATGGAAGGAACTACTACAGCTATCTTGCAAAAATGGCAGGAGTCATCCTGGACACTAAAACTAAACCAAAATCCCAACGATGGTAAAGCAGAAAGATGAAAAACTGGTTGCTCCTATCACCACTGAACTGAATTAACCAACCTACAAACCTCCCAACTCCAAACATCCTGTTTTGTATTATTTAATAATTTTGAATTGGCTGATTGGTTCTTTGCAATTAAAAGCATCCTAATCCTAACTGACAGCATGATTTGGAGAATAAAAGTTGGTGAGACTATGCAGGGCCTCAAATCCACCTGAAGACAGGAACCAGGGAGGTAATTAGAATGACACTATTGTTCTGCTGGGGAGAACAGACTGTGGCTGGCAAGGTGAATATAAGAGAATGAGGACAGTGACCTTTTGATAAAATTTGGGGGAGATCCAACCTTTGAAAAAGTCTTTGGAGCAACCCAAAAGGAACACTAAAAAATAACTTAAAAGGCAGGAGGAGGACAGAGCAGAGTTGGGCACAAAAGCAAAGTCAGCAGAGAGGTTAAAGAACGACTGAGTTGTAAAGTTATCCCATGCTGGGAAGTTCAAGGAAGAGAAGGAAGGATGAAATTGGATAATAGGGGAATTGATTACTATTTAGTAACCTTTGCAACAGTAATTTCAGGGTGATCGTCCAAATACAATACTGCAGAGAATTAAAGAATAGAATGGAAAGTGAGGCAAGCAGCAGGTTTACAGATTAAGGACAGTGACAGTAACATCATAGGTCCTTAATAAATACATGTTGAAGCAATGATTTTATGAACTAAGGCCAAGGAGTGAGTAACATCTGTGTCTCTGCTCAGGAGTTTCGTATGATGAGGTTATGTTAGGGGACGCAACTGGCTAGAGACCTCTGAGGAAAGACTTTCCCGTGGCCCCCTTAGGGCCCACAACTGGGTCTAAAAATTAAACTGACAAGAGGCAGATTAAAGGAAAAAGCACACAAATGTATTTAATATGTTTTACTTGATACAGGAGAGTTGATAAGAAAATGAAGACTCAAATAAATGGTTAAGCCTGAGTGTTTTTATACTAGATTTGATGAAGAGTGGAAAATCATGGAAAATCAATCACGGAAACCAAAAGGGTCTCAGCTAAGGGTAGTAAACTGGAGAACTCTTAGCAAGGCCTGTTTCCTCAGATTCTTTTCTACATCCCTGTCTTCAAAGATAAGAATGCTCCTTTTTTTAATTTTTGTATCATTAATATACAATTGCATGAGCAACACTGTGGTTACTAGATTCCCCTATCAAGTACCCCCCACATACCCCATTACAGTCATTGTCCATCAGCATAGTAAGATGCTATAGAGTCACTACTTGTCTTCTCTGTGCTATACTGCCTTCCCCGTGACCCCTCTACATTATGTGTGCTAATTGTAATGCCCCTTATTCCCCTTCACCTTCCCTTCCCACCACCCCGACACCTAGTCCCTTTCCCTTTGGCAACTGTTAGTCCATTCTTGCGTTCTGTGAGTCTACTGCTGTTTTGTTCCTTCAGTTTTTGCTTTGTTCTTATGCTCCACAGATGAGTGAAATCATTTGCTACTTGTCATTCTCCACCTGGCTTATTTCACTGAGCATAATACCCTCTAGCTCCATCCATGTTGTTGCAAATGGTAGGATTTGTTTTTTTCTTATGGCTGAATAGTATTCCATTGTGTATATGTACATCTTCTTTATCCATTTATCTACTGATGGACATTTAGGTTGCTTCCATTTCTTGGCTATTGTAAATAGTGCTGTGATAAACATAAGGGTGCATATGTCTTTTTCAAACTGGGATCCTCCAAGACTGCTCCTCTTAAAACCACATTTTGTTAGAATATTAACTGGTAAGGAGAAATGAATAAGTGAAGTTACTACTACTAGGTCTAGGAATACTGGATTGAGATTCTGACTTTTATTTTTCTGCATTTCCAAGCTTAACAGTTAACTGGTTTCTTATTTCTAATTAGGAAACTTGCTTTTTAAAAAGTGTGTTTAATAGTATTGCCTAGAACATTTTATTGTTTTCTAATTTTGGAGCTCAGTAATCCATTGTGTAATGTCTGGGAACTGCCATTTAGCATAGAAAGGAAAAATGAGAGGATGACATTCTGTAAATCTAATATAAGGGACTTTTGTTATTTAAACATTTAACAACACTGTAAACATGAGCAACATTTTCTGTACATTTGTTCTTAAGAAACATCTGCTTGAGAACACAGAATTTTTAAAGGATTTATTTAATAATAAACCAATTAAAAGATACAAAAATGTTTAGAGGATTCCAAAATTTAAATTTTTGTTTAAATACAAATTCACTCTGTAATATGAAAACATAAAACATTAGACCTCTAAACCTGATTTTTCATCTACAAATATTTCTCTTTGCTATACTAGAAAATTTGCAGAGATCAACTTTTCTTGTGAAATTAAATGTACATTATTTACAGCTGAAAAAGTAATCTTAAAAAGTCTTTTCATTTTAGAAACTTGGGTATATATGTATATTATCTCTGTATGCAATTCCCCCTTATGCCCAAGAAAAAAATGATCCAAAATATAAAGTAATTATGCTCTTACAGCAACTGACTACTCAGCCAGATTAGCCAATGCTTGATTGCTTTCTGGGCCCTTAGGAAAGAGCCTTGACTCTTTCAGAACAGCAGTATATCATTTAACACTCAGCAACATAAGTTTACTAATAGACCACAGTGTGCAGCGGCCTAAGGAGCTAATGAACAAAGTATTTAGGAAGAATTCAGGTGCATAGCAGATGTTACAGATAATTAGAAGAATGAAATTTGCAAAGCCACTTTTCCTGCAATATTTTAGCTATTAGGAAGTAAGCTGATAATGTTTTCACCAATATACTTTTAAAATACAGGAATTAGAATAAGAAAACTTAGAATTAGAAAGGAAGCTGGAGATCATCTAGTCTAATCCAATGCATCTCTTCCTTTTATGAAAGAATTGAGGCCCGAAAAGATATAGTGGCTTGCCCAAGGTTATTTAATTTTTTAGTAGGGGAGCCACTCACAGGCGATGTTTTTATACTATCCTGCTTCTGAAAACAGGTTCAACTATATGATGGGCACATTTCTATTTTTAATGTTATATTTTACATATTCATAGTTCATATACAGTGCAACCAACTGTCTAAATAAAAGCATAATTTTAATGAAAGTATAAAATAGGTGTACTGCATTTGAAAGAGTCAAGACTTAACTTATACAAGTGGAATGAAGATAGTTCCTATGTAAATTTCCTGTTGCCTTCTACTTAAGTACTGCATTTACAAAAGAATCAAAAAAGCTAATACAATGTAAAATTTAAAAAGAAATCTTTTTTAAAATACTTAATAGCAACTGAAAAAAATCTCAAAAGAATGTCTTCATAGTATAAAATACCTGTTCCTTCACAATTGAATTCTGTAACATTTAGAGAACAAAGAGTAACACTAAGGTTTTCCTCTCTCATCTAACAAAGTCAAAATTAACTCTAAATTTTTAACAATTAACTACAAAGTTAGGAATTATCTTAGAATCAATCATATAGTTTACATACAACTGAAAACATTCCATTAAAAAGCAATTATCCACAATTCCTTTGGTATATTAACTAAAAGGAGTTGGGTTCCAGCAATTTGTTTTGTTTCATAGCTACCTGAGAGGTAAATCTGTTGGAGTTGGACACCACCATCACATAAGGCTGTGGTTGTTGCTCAGTTTTCTCAGTGTCTTCTTTCAAATGATCTTCAACCTTTTTCTCTACTTCCTGTATAAGAGTTTTTGTTTCTTGAGTTTTGAAAACAGAAGTGATTACAGTGCCAGATGGATGAGCAACCAGTTGTGAACTGCGAGGAGAAAAGGTCACCACAGGTGTAGTAGCACTGAAAGATGGAGATGAAGCCATACTGACGGTTCCATTGCAAACTGACTGAACATTGCTAGTAAGAACCTGCTGTACCTGGGCAGGGCTCAAGACAATCGAAGGAGGAGATCCTGGCTTCTGTGACTGTAACATGACATTTTCTTTCAGTACTGTCATGGGCTGTGATGATGGAATGGCTTGTAAAATAAACTTCTGAGATCCAGCACCTGATGATGGATCTGTGCTGGCTATAACTGTTGTGATTGGCACGGTCTGGAGTGTTACTGTATGCAAATGCTGATTCCCAGGAGACACAACCACTGGAACCTGGGTTGGAGCCTGTATAGTCCTATTGAAATTATGAAAGAAAAGGGAGAAATTAGCATATTCTACATCATTTACAATGTTAAAATCTGAGAAGTCATTTTGACAAAATAGAAGTCATACATTTCAGGTGCTACTTCCCATATTTCAACACAACATAAACATCATGCCAGACCCTGCAATGAACACTGTACACACAGAAATGCCCAACACAAAAGTCTCAGGTCATTAACTATGATACTATCTGATGAAAAAATTCTTTACAAAGTGCCACATTAACATAAATGAGGAAGGAAATATCAAAATGTTTGGCAAGAAGTTATGCATGAGTTGCTTTAAAGAAAATTAGTAATTTTAGATCAAGTATATTAGATTCTCACTCTATTTTGATATTTGAGAGAAAATGTTATCAACATGCTCATCCACAATTACCAAGCTTCATATAATTGCTTTCAACCTGTTATCCTCTATATAAAGGGGAAATGCTCATTAAAATTTAAACAAAACCCTCAGTCTTAAGTATAAGACAAGATTATCAGAATAATTTCAATAGCTCAGAGTTCACATCATACTATATAAACAAGAATATAATTAACCTATGAGGGTTTTTAAGGCTGGCAGAGAGGGCAAGAAGGCAGCTTTCGCCTTCACAAAAATAAATAGAAGCGTATTTTAGCAGTTTTCTCAGCTCAAACAATGCTCATAAATTTTAGTCATAAAGCTATAATTTAACATAAAATCATTTAATGTAAATTCCAATTTATATAAGGTTGTTAAATCCATTTGTTGAAGAGATACGTAAGTGATAAAAAGTTTACAAAGTGTATGGACATGGTTACTGTAAAACACATGCAGTTTTATCTCAGCATCTGGAGCTCAACTGTTGTTTCCTCGCAATTCTGTAAAGCTATTTTACCAAAGATGAATGACTCCTACTTCAAATGGCTAACAGCTAGATTAGTCCTCATAAACCAAATGTTGCTCACTGCCAGTAGATTATTACAGGTAAATTTTAGTAAGTTACGGTTATGTTGCCTGTCATGTATGTGTGAGAAATGAAATTCTGGAGGAGAAAACAAATGGACTAGGAGGAAAGATGAAAAGATGCATCATCTCAGCTATGGAGAACTTGAAAGGAAGTAGAAAGACACAGGATAACTAGAGCCCACCCACTGGTGTAGATACTTATTCCCACATTCAGACTGCCACCAAAGTAACCATTCTGAGGATCAGTCTACAGCAGGGTATTAGCGGTTCATCTGGAGGACAGAGCTAGAAGAGAATAGGAGTCAGTATGAAGATTTAGTGAGGTGAACAGAGTATGCCTAGGAATAAAGGCCAGATGTACTAATATTATTGGGAAGGCAAGGAGTTGGAAGTATTCAAAATAATTTTGGAGCCAGGGAGATTTTCCAAACTACACTGTGACTCCCTTCTCCCCTGCCCACCTAAATCAGGATACCTTGGATGGAATCTAAGCCAGGCAACAGTATCTGACTTTACAGCCAGATACCATTTTTTAAACAGTAAAGATGGCACAAAGACTTCCCACTGCAAGAGTTCATGCATGTATGCACAGATAAAATAGTAGTTGGCATACAGTAAGCATACAGATTGTATTTGTAAATATGTATAGTCTTTCTGCCCTCTCGGTACATTATCCCCATTTTATGTTATGAAAATAATTAATGCCCAAAGAGGTTAAACAGCTTGCATAAAGTGACCAGTTAGTTAAGAAGAGGCCATCTGACTGCAGGGCCTCTGTGCTTAATCAGTACAACATACTGCCACATCTTCGTGTTGAATAACATTAGCTGAAGATAAATATTTACTATTGTATCTTTAAACTGTGGGTAGTTATAACTTTTTAATACACACTTCTCCCCTTCCTCTTTCCCTCTCTCAGGTGTGGCACAAGCAGTGATGTACTTGAAAATTTTCCATATAGCTCATCAAGGCTACCACTAGACTCAATGCTTTTATTCCAAATTAGACTCAATGCTTTTATTCCAAATGTCCTTTTCTCGAAACACCTGACTGCCATCTGCAAGAAAATAAACATACTCACCTACAATGTCTACAATGTAAATGTAGTGGCTTCTTTTAACAAATTCTAAATCAATTTTTACAAATAAAAAATTTAAAGATTAAAGGATAAAATATTATGTAGCATTTTTCCCAACCTCAGGCATTTTTAATTATTTTTTTCTTAGTTAATGACTAAATTATCAGCTGTGTCTGGTTATATTGTATTACTTAACAAAGACTATAGTCTTTTATAGTTAGCTACTTTAAAAAAAATCTCCTAAACCACTTTAACTGGTATAATATTGGTAATTTAAAATTCCTCAAACTTTCTGAGTTTAAGGGAGGTATCATTTAGCATTTATCATATATCATTTAGCATTTGTTGAAAATCTACTCAGATGTCAGGAAGTGTTATTTAATTGTTAAAACCATCTGTAAGGTTAAGTATTACCATCTTTATTTTATAGATGAGGAAACAAGACTCAAAATTATTAATTTGATCCAATGTCACATCTAATAATTGACAGAGCACTGGAAGGTTATGCCTACATTCTTCCTACTCCATTACATTGCTTTTAAGGCAAGCTACACAACATATATTTTTAGAGGTTACTTTATTTAAAAGACCCTAAGACAAACTATTAGTGGTTAAATAAATATTATAGAGAATTATGCTAGGTAGGTATATGGTCTTCCAAGTTTACCAAGGCACAATTTTAAGAAGATATTTTACCAGAGGTTTATTTTAGTTGTATTTGTTTCTTTGAATAACATGAAGCCAGAGTCAAAATGTGCAAAAACTGAACACATAATACCATAAATTAAGAAAAGTTTGATTTCAACATAGATACATGCAATTATGTGAGATGAAAAGAAGTGAACAAAGGAAAAAATTAAGAAGAAACATACTGCTACTTCATTGTAAAGAACTGATAATTCATGCGATTTATGTGAATCAACAGGCAGTATGGCAAACCGTTAAGCTCATTGCTTTGAACTAAACTGCTTGCATTAAAACACTGTCTCCACCACTTACTAGATGTGACCAGGCTCCTTGGCCTCTCCTTGCTTGGTTTCCTCATCTGTAAAATAGGAATAATATTACCTATACCTCATTGACCAGTGAGGATTCTATACATTAATATATGTAAAATGTATGAAATATAGAGTGCTTTGAAAGTGTCAGCTCTTGTTTAAATTAAAATCAAACAAATGAAACACTTCTTTAGATTAAAAAATCTAATTTAAAATCTTTAAAGGTCTTTGATTTTATTAATAAGTTGTCATAAAATCGAGAGATACAGAAAAAACACTGTTCATTTTCTTAGGAATGATAATATGGTCATTTATGTCTCTATTCTTAAGGAGTTGTAGGTTGAAATATTTAGGGGTAAAATGTCATAATTATATCAACTTACTTGACAAATAGCCCAATAGAGAAAAAGGTATAAATATAGAGAGAAAACATGGCAAAATGTTATCAATCATCAATTGTAAATCTAGATTAACGGCAAATAAGTGAACTACTTCAACTTCACCTTACTTTGAAATTTTTCATAATAAAAAGTTGGGATAATTACCAAAAATGAAAATAACAAAGAAATTACTAAATAAAAAATTAATGAAAAACTATTCTATTAATATGTTAAAAATTCAGAGTGATATATACAATTTGCTTGGAAATTATTTACCTTTTTTCATTCTTTTTATATAATGGAAACGAATGATAGCAAAACCTGGATATTATATTCAGTACCTGTCAGTCTTCAAAGAGTGTTGCTGTTTATTCATTTTGCCTTCCCACATCCACTAATTTCAGGTAATAAAATGCATTCTGTTAAAGGTTTGACTACTTTAAAATAAGCAGGATTTGGGAGAGGAAAATAAAAGATATAACCAAATGAGAGAAGAATTTCTTAAAAAGTTAAAGATTAAAAATGTGAATGTATAGATATGTCTATATAAATACAGAAAGGCTTTCCACAATAGGAGTATGTTTTAAAGTTTGAAAACTTAAACTTCTATGTCTTCATTATGTAAATTAAATAGGCCGCTTAGAAACTCATTACTTTAAGAGGAGATAACAAATGAATATATATACTACTTCAAAATAAATTCTACAAATATGAAGGGGTGTTATGTGCCCAGTACTGTGTCAGGTGCTAAGAAAAGGACAATGAATATAATCTGGCTCCTATATATTTTCTAAGAGGAGACAGGCACTAAAGTCAACTGAAACATTTGGTTTAAGTACCAGACTTAGGTACAGTCAGCTTTAGTTGAAGAACAAAGAAAGAATTGTGAGCAGAGAGCTATCAGCTGAGGCTACAGAAATTCAACTGCACTGTGTGTGCAACATAGATCTAACAAAAGCTGCAAGGAGGCAGCATAACAAAGCTGTGACTACTAGTTACATATAGATTGAACTGAAGTGAAAAAACATTAGAGGCAAGAAGCAAGCAGAGTGTCCACAGAATTCTCAGGAACCTTGGAAATGAAGTCTGAAAGGTACACCAAAGACAGTTTGAAAGTCACAGGTAGCAAGGTTCATTATAATGTTTTAATATCTGGCACCAGTCTTATTCAGAAACTGACATAATAATAAACTATCTAATGCAGTTTCACAATGTCTTTCAGAGCTGGAGATGCCTGGGTTTTCTTTTGGGTTTTGTTTGTTTCTATTCTCAAGGTCTAACTAAAATGGAAACTTACAGATGCTAAAAAACAACTGAATCACTCCTAGAAAGCGTCTCAGTGATTAGCTGTGGCCATTGTATGCTTCCTATTAACACAAATACACACAATGACATGACAAAGAAGCTAGGAACCAGTGGGAGGAACCACACACTTTCAAATTAGAAACTCAGTCATCATACATAACCAATAGAACCTAGAGGAAAATAAAACATTAAAAGGAAAAGAGAGCTAAGTAAGTATTCTTTTAAGAACAGTTAAAGATCTATCATTCTGACCAATTAAAATGGAAAAAAATTTGATTATTACACTCTTTGCAAGTCAACAATTTGAGAGACAATGTCATAGTTTAAATGGACCATATAAGGAAGACTGAATCATCTAACAGTCTGCCTTGATTCTAGATAATGTTTACTTACTTCAGTATCAATTGAACAAAAACTCAGCATTTATTTTCTGGAATATACAAATATTAAGACTGAAGCTGGCTAATGAAAATAATCATAGAATCATTTTTATTGGATATGAAAGGGCTCCTCTATTTTGTAATTCATGTTCTAGAAATTCATGAGAGTAGAAACAAACAAATAGAACATTGCAAAAGTCCATTTCGTTTATTGCTTTCCTCTCTTTTTCCCATTCTAATTTAGCCAAGACTATATCTCAAATTTCTGCAAAAGGCCAGTCTAAAAGCAGATAGGTTTTGGTCAATTTGTTGTATCCTTCCTGGGGCTTTGAGACAAATCTGATTTGATTAGCCAGAAAACTATTCTTCCAACTTCTGCACTCTAAGAGCTCTGAAAAAGAGGACCTTATATTCTTTAGAAGTGTTTCACGACCAAGGAATAATGTGTATTCTTGGAACTCAATGCATTCCAAAAGGTCACAATTTGTCAATTTATGTTGAATTCTTACAGCTTCTGACTTTGTTTGAAAAAAAGAACTGAAACCATTTTCTGGACTTTCTTATATGTGAATCCCTTCTTGTACTGATCAATCTAGTTATACAGTAGTACAGTGGACTACATTAGTTAAACTGGTAGCAAAACATCAAGTAATGTCAAAATTTAAAAAGAAGGAATCACAGATACAATCAGAGGACTGATGTAATATGTATTGCTGCTGAAACAATCTGTTGACCAAGATTTGTAGCTTGCCATCTATGTAATTTTTATCCTCATTTCTGAATCTTGACCTATTGAACAAATAATGGCTCTAGTCAGAAACATCACATAACAATATGGATCATTAACTTCAATTTCCTCACCTAATACTCTGAATGGAAGAATTTAATGTCTCATCCTGCATGCTACTGGTTATGGTTGAATCTCCTTCTGCAACAGCTTGTACTGGCTGTACCACATGAATAGTCCGGAAGAGCTGGGTAGGATATGGGGGCTGTGTGGGCTGCACTGTCCTCAGAACTTCTGATGGCTGTGCAACTTCCACAGGATCTTTGGGTTTTGTAGCTTTAGAATTCCCTGGTTTTAGAACTGTAGTGGCTCCTCCTTTTATCCCTGGATTTGAAGATACCCTTGATCGGCTTGCTTGGTTCCTAACTGAAGTGGTTGTTGAAGAAGATAGTGATGGATCTGAAGACTCCATGCTGGAACTTGGATCCTCATCATCTATATAAATAAGATCTTTTGGCATTTCTTTAAACTGATACACCAAGCGCTGACCTTCTACTTTTGCCAGGATGCCCCTTTGGTAATAGTACCTATGTAAAGCAGACAATTTTATCAATACTTTATGATATTCAATAAAGTTAAAATCTCTTTCATTATAAATAAAAGTTTAGAGTTAAAAACAAACAAGTGAGAAAAGAATTTCTAAATGAAGGGCAGTTACTTTGTAAAAGATAGTAAAATTAAAATCATTCTTTTCTAAATATATTTTAAACACAAACTCACAGTTTATGTCTCTACTACCAGTTAAGTCTAAAACCAATTCTGATTAGGGGATTTTTGATAAAGTATGTGGATTATTGTACACCCGCAATTTTCTTCCTTCCTCTATCCTTGTGCCAACTTGCTAGAATAATCAAATCTACTATAAACTTTATGAATTTATTTCCCTTCCACAGCTTACTATAATGACCCTACAATTTAGATCTGAATCAATAAACCTGATTCAGTTTTCTGCAAAAAATTTAAAGATGTACAAATAGAAGTGATTCAAATTTCCTCAGATTTTAATTAAGCATCGAAAAAATGTGAATATAAAAACACTAATTGAATAGTTCTGTTTTAAGAAAGTTATCAAATTGGCAGGTCATTGCTATTTTTAATAAATCTGTCTCAAATACATACATATCTTCAAGAACAAATGACACACTCACAGAAAAACAAAAGTAATCTTAATAAAACTGGTCCCTAGTTCAAAATTTTCACACAGTCTAATATTCTCAAAGCATTAATGTATTCTAACATATTACATACCATACCTGAGATTCATGTTTAGAAGTGTACCCTCTTATGAAGTACCTGTATTAATTTACCACTTCTTGTTTTATGCTGGATTTAAGTTTAATAGCTCAAAACGTATGAGACCTATGGTCAATTTATAATTCCTAATGATAGCCTAACATTTTCTCATCCTTGCAGAAATAATATATCTGTTGTTTGAATGAAGATTTTTTTTGGAAAGAAAACATTTTCCCAGATTGGAATAAGATTTCAATTTAGATACATAGTGATTTCTGTAAGTAATGTGGTTTTAGCACTTCAATAATAAAATAACCATTTTTTTTAATCCTCTGATTTTTTTTTAGAAGTTACCTACTTTTTAGTATTTAGTAAATGATATTCTTAACACAATGAACTACAAAAACTTCACGTACCTGAGAGCTCTTCCCATGGTCTCATAATTCATGTCAGGTTTGTTTTTGTGCTTCCCCCACAACCTGGATACCGCTTTAGAATCCACCAACTTAAATATGCCTTTTTCTCGCTGGGTCCATTTGATATACTTAGGACAAGTAGCTTTGTCCTGGAGCAGTGCCAACAGAAACTCCCAAAGATAAATTGTGTTCCCTATAACAAAAGCAATTTCTTTTTAGCTGACCAAAACTTCATCTAAATGAGCACAATAAAACACTAAAAAGCCTTGTAAGTTCCATTTGTGATTATACAGAAAAAAAATGTCACCTAATTCAGTGAGTACCGGTGATCTAATGGTCATAATTTTTAGGGTCTAATATAGGTCTACTTATTGGTCCCACATAAAACATCTGAACAGAGCAATCTTGCCAGTTAGATTTGTGACAACTTAGGGAAAAAGAACTTGAGACAACTTTTTTCCATCTCTTCAAGAACCACTACATAGAAAACAGTGAAAGAGAGTTGTACAAAACCTATTAACAATTGTTTTCTTTATATAAGAACCAGCAGATTAGCTTTAATAATTTTCTTCAAATTTGAGCAGCAGTTATGAAAATACTCAAGCTCTAAGAAAACACAGTAAAGAATCTATGAACCGAAAACCTAACCTGGCTGGCCTCTTCTAAGGGACTCATTATTAAAGGAAAGGATGAATTATTTTGGCAGGGTAAGTGAAAATCTCTGAAATTGATTTCTTGGGCTACATCATTACCAGTCTCTATAGAAAATGGCAAGTGTATCTTATAGGCATGGGGCAGCAGTTAAGATCCATTTTCTTATGTCAAGAAAATGGGTAGTTTCTACTTGTAATCTGGATGTTCTTTGACCTCTGAGTACAGGGTAATTAGAGTAGCACTTACCCTTCCCATCTTTGTTTTTCTTCTTCACAGATATGTTTGGTGTAGCAGCTGGGGAATCCGGTCGTGGTGGTTTAGTTTTTCTTCCTGAAATCAAAACAGCTCTGCATAAATATTTGCCCTCAAAAGCAAGAGAGAATGGACAATTTAGCTGTTTATAAATGCTATTTTGTCATTTATACTAAATTTTAAATACTAAATACTTGGATTACATCTGTTAGTCTCCTGTAACACTATTTACTAAAAGGAAAATAACTTAGGTAAAAATTTAACATAGGACGTAGGTTAGATCACAAAGATTTTTATATAGGAAATTATACTTTGGCTCAACTGTAAAAATGAGGTTAAGTTTAAAATATTTTATCTTGTCTTTGAGGTGACAATACTAACAGTGCTTTCTTAAAATTTGGGGGGAATATTTACAATTGTTTTCTTTATATAAGAACCAGCAGATTAGCTTTAATAATTTTCTTCAAATTTGAGCAGCAGTTATGAAAATACTCAAGCTCTAAGAAAACACAGTAAAGAATCTATGAACCGAAAACCTAACCTGGCTGGCCTCTTCTAAGGGACTCATTATTAAAGGAAAGGATGAATTATTTTGGCAGGGTAAGTGAAAATCTCTGAAATTGATTTCTTGGGCTACATCATTACCAGTCTCTATAGAAAATGGCAAGTGTATCTTATAGGCATGGGGCAGCAGTTAAGATCCATTTTCTTATGTCAAGAAAATGGGTAGTTTCTACTTGTAATCTGGATGTTCTTTGACCTCTGAGTACAGGGTAATTAGAGTAGCACTTACCCTTCCCATCTTTGTTTTTCTTCTTCACAGATATGTTTGGTGTAGCAGCTGGGGAATCCGGTCGTGGTGGTTTAGTTTTTCTTCCTGAAATCAAAACAGCTCTGCATAAATATTTGCCCTCAAAAGCAAGAGAGAATGGACAATTTAGCTGTTTATAAATGCTATTTTGTCATTTATACTAAATTTTAAATACTAAATACTTGGATTACATCTGTTAGTCTCCTGTAACACTATTTACTAAAAGGAAAATAACTTAGGTAAAAATTTAACATAGGACGTAGATTAGATCACAAAGATTTTTATATAGGAAATTATACTTTGGCTCAACTGTAAAAATGAGGTTAAGTTTAAAATATTTTATCTTGTCTTTGAGGTGACAATACTAACAGTGCTTTCTTAAAATTTGGGGGGAATATTCTTGATGCTGATAATACTTGGGCTCAAAAAATAAACCATACGGGACTGTCTGCCTGTTGGTGATGTAAGTTTTTTGTAAGAGGAGAAATAGATATTTAGCTTTTTTCTATTCTAAATACATCTCTGCATACATTTAGCTCTTACATACTGGGAAGTTCACAAAACTCTAGATATATAAAAAATAAATGAGGCAAAATTTTGGTGAACCATATAGTCTATTTTTATTTTTCTGTATATTTTTAAACATCTTATTTTTATTTCTTTCAATTAACAGCAAACTTTTATCCCTCAGTCAATCTCTAAACAAATCCATCCCAACAATATTAAACTGTGTTTTGTGCAGCCTTAATCTGGGTCAAACAAGCCTTGTTTGTAATCTCCTTTTGCCACTTATCTAGAATCACAACTTGGTGGCAGCGTTGCCTGGAATTTAGTTTTGAGATGATCATGTTGTCTGAACAGACTACCATTCTGTATATGAAAACCAATGAAGATTAAGCACAAATGAATACTTCAGTTAGTACCTCTACACCAGCACTCTTGAGGGCTGACTTTCTCTCTTCCTAGTCTAGATTACAAGGGTGAATTCTGGATTAATATAATATCGAGCAATAACTTACAAAAGCAGAATTCTACAACTAAAGTCACAAGCTTAGTAACAATACATCTCTAGCCAAACTGAATAGGAAAGCATTTCTGAAGTTACAGTGAATAAGAAAGAGTCTGGGAGAAGAGGGTAAAAAAGGTTACATTCAGGCCACTCTTAAGACTGCCCAAAGGTATATTCGCCAAACCTCGTAGGCCAAGTTATCTCGGCTTCCAACATTGCAGACATGTGCGAGAACCCAGTCATGAGGCAAATACTTCTGGCTGACTGTGTTAATGATAACAAGTCTGAAGCTAAGACTTCAGTTAGCTCCTATCCATCCTACCATCTTATTTTATACTTTCTATTTACCTGCTTTTTCTGATAAAATTTTCTTTATTCCATTGTTTTACTCTATTACTTTTAGTCAGGACACTGCCAATAGCCTACCCAATTTCCACCCTCTCCATCATCTCCTTATTATTCAAGGTAGTGATGTACACAGGTGCACGTGAATTATAAATTAGTTAGATAGAGAATATTTGGTTGACAGTGATTTCTTCTCAGGAAGCTTCTAAGCTGCTAATCCAACAATCAATCATCACAAGTAATTCTCCCTGGTTTGACTCTTTTTTTTGAGGAGGGGAGGGATCTTTGGTGTCCCACATTTTTCCTATAATATGCTGAGGACTGAATTTATTTTAAAATGTTATGCTACTCAGAATCTACCATACTGGGATTAATACCTTTCTGGAAAATTCTCCATTATTGTCTTTGAATATTGCCTCTTTCTCCCTCTATATAGTCTCTACTCCTGGAGCTTGGGTTAAAGATGTAGACCTCTTCATTCAAACATCACATCTCTGATCTTTCATATTTTTTATTCTTTATCAGATCTATATTGGAGCTCACTAATTTTCTCTTAAGCAGTGACTAATCTGCTGTTTAACCCATATATTATATGCTCTATTTGGTTATCATATCATCTTTCGTCATTAAGTAGGATGTTAGTCTTTCACTTTTTAAAAACATCTTTACTGAGGTATAACTGACGTACAATAAACTGCACACATTTAAAGTCTACAATTTGATAATTTTGACATATGTACACACTTATGAAACCATCCACACATTCAATACAATGAACATATTCTTCACCCTCAAAAAATCCTTACTTCTCACCTTTCCACACCCTGCCGAATGCAAAGGCACCCAACTACTCACATGTCTTCTATCATTATAGATTAGTTTGCAGCTTCTACAGTTTTATATAAATAGAACCATATTCTCGTTTTTTTGGTCTAGCTTCTTTCCCTTAGAATAATTATGTTAAGATATATATACTTTTTTATATGTTATCAACAGCAGTTATATTTTATTGCTAAGTGCCAGTTTAAATATGGCTATACCACAAATTTGTTCATCCCAGCAGCAACTGATGGATATTTGGATTGTGTCCAGTTTGGGGCTACTGCAAATAAAACTGATAAGACCTTTTGCTTGTGCTTAAATTTTATTTGAATGTATGGTTTCATTTCTTTTGGATAAATACTTTTGGAGTAGTAGAATGGAAAGTACCATCTGAGTCACATGTTAAGTATACATTAAGTTTTTTGAGGAACTACAAATCTGTTTTCAAAAAAAAAAAAAAAT